AGGATGCCTTTACATTGTTCAAGTTGTTTGAGGAAATGGCTTTATGGGTTGGACCAAACAATATTGTCCATGTTGTCACGGATAATAGAGCAAATTTTAAAGCTATTGGAAGAATGTTGTCTGAGAAGTATGAGAATATTACTTGATCGCCTTGTGCAGCACATTGCATAAATTTATTTTTGAAAGATATATTTGAGTTGGAACACATAGTGCATCTTGCAAAACATGCTTCTGAAGTAACCAAGTTTGTGTATAATCACACAATTTTGATAGCTTGGTTGAGGAAAAGAGAGGTAATAGCTTATAAACCTTTGACTCAAGTTTTTGTCAATTTATTACATAATAAACATTTTGTAATAATTTACTAACATCTATTATGTATGTATCACTTGAACAGGGTTGGAAAGAAATCATACGACCGAGTGCAACTCGGTTTGCTACTACTTTCATTGCATTAAGAAGTCTACATGAGCACAAACATGACTTGTAAGCTATGGTGACTGATAGGTTTTTGGTGGACTCTCTATATGCCAGAAGTAGTAAAGGCAATAATGTTATTCCTATAATTCTAGATAATGAATTTTGGGATGACATGGGTTACGTCTCTAAAATTGTGGCTCCTTTGATGCATTTGTTGCGGATTGTAGACTTAGATAAGAGACCTGCAATAGGATATGCGTATGATGGCATGTATAGAGCCAAAAAAGCCATCAAGAAGTTCTTTAAAAAGAAAAAGACATTGTACAAGCCTTATACCGAAATTATTAAGCTGCGATGGGATAGGCTTTTGCGCCGTGACATTCATTCTGCTGCTTATTATTTGAATCCAGCTTTTTAGTATGACCGTGCAACTTTCTGCAGGAAACCAGAGGTTATGCGTGGTTTCGTTGATGTTGTCGAAAATAAAGTAAGTGCATTCAAGTTGAACAAGACAAAGTTAGTGGACGAAAGTAGAATATATCGAGACCGTGAGGAAAGCTTTCTCTTGAGCTTGCCTTTCAAACTTGCAAAACCACACGACCTGGTGTGTGATACTTATTAAATTTCTCAATTTTAAGTCCAATTTCTAAGTTATGAATTTATGTTTATTTCATATGGTTATCACTTTAACTTTCAATTAGATGAATGGTGGAGGACATATGGGTATAGTACTCCACAGTTACAACTGTTTGCAATTAAAATTCTGAGCCAAACTTCAACCTCTTCGGGATGTAAGCGAAATTGGAGTTTTTTCGAATGCATCCATACAAAAAGAAGGAATAGATTGGAGCATCAATGGTTGAATGATTTGGTTTTTATCCATTATAACTTGCGTTTGAAAAATAGGTATAAAGCATTGGCAATTTTAATATTTTTATTATCTCGTATTTTTATTGATATTTTTATTTGGCGTGTCCAACCGAGAAAACCGAAAACCAGGCCTTTGGCCGAGTCGACTCCCGGTCTAGTTTTCAGAACATTAGCCCCAACAACTTGATAATCCATTTCTGTTGTTCCTCCCCTTGTAACCGCTGCTCGTTCAAATAGTGTAAACTACGTTGATTGGTCCTGATGATGAAATGTCTTCCTAACAGATAGTGTCGCCATTTTTAGACAGCTAGTACAATGGCCATTAATTCCCTTTCGTAAACGGACTTTAACCTCGACCGTGTAGAGAGTCCCTGACTGAGAAATGCTAAGGGTCGACCTTCTTGCATGAGAATAGTTCTGATTCCCGGTCCCGAGGCATCTGTCTCAATAACAAACGTCTTATAGAAATTAGGCATGGCTAAGACGAGTATTGTGGTCATGGCTCGTTTGAGTTCTTCAAAGGCTTTCTGTGATGATTCTGTCCATATGAAGGCGTCCTTGCGAAAAAGATTGGTCAAGGGTAATACCTGGTCAGACCAAGAAAGCCACGGAGTGCCTTGACATCTTTTGGAACAGGCCACTTCAGTATACAATCCACTTTAGAAAGGTCAACTACAACACCTTGAGCTGAGATAAGATGGCCTAAATATTCCAACTGAACCTGGGCGAATCAGCATTTCTTTTTATTTAACACTAGTTGATGTTTCAAAAGCACCTGAAAGGTAATTCAGAGGTGATGTAAATGTGTTTCCAGATCAGAACTATAGATTAAAATATCATCAAAAAAGACCAATATGAATTTCCGCAAGTAGGATTTGAAGATGTCATTCATGAGCGCTTGGAAGGTTGAAAGGGCGTTTGATAACCCGAAGGGCATGACAAGAAACTCATAGTGCCTTTCATGAGTTCAAAACGCGATTTTGTGGGTGTCCTCCTCCCTAACCCTTATTTGATGATATCCCGATTTGAGATCCAGTTTTGAAAATATAGTGGCTCCTTCTAACTCATCAAACAATTCGTCTACGGTTGGAATGGGAAATTTGTCAAGAATGGTGATCTTGTTGAGTGCTCGGTAATCTATGCAGAAACGCCATCCTCCATCTTTTTTTCTTACTAATAAGACCAGGCTAGAGAATGGGCTGACACTTGGCTTAATAATTCCAGAAGCCATCATTTCTTGCACAACCTTTTCTATTTTGTTTTTCTGATAATACGGATACCGGTAGGGCCGAATGTTGGGTACTGGAGTGCCTCGTTCAATCCTGATGGCGTGGTCATGTGCCCTGGCTGGTTGGAGCCCCAACTGAGGTTCAAATAAAGCCGCATGGTTTTGTAACAGTTTGTTGACGCGACTATCTGCGTCCGTCTTGTTTTCTTCCTATAACTACAAGTTTCCGAACTCAACTAAATACCCTTGTCCTTCAGTCCGCAGTGTCTTAATCATTCCTTTGAACAACACCATCACCTTACTCAGCAAAGGATCTCCGACAAGAGCCACCACCTTTCCGTCCATATTGAACTTCATGATATATTTTTTCCAATCAGTTATGGTTTCTCCCAATGTCTCTAACCATGCAATTCCCAAAATCACGTCAACGCTGCTCATGTCAAAGGGAAAAAAATTTTGAACCAGTGTGATATCCTGTAGCCTTAGACTTACTTCACAGCACTCTCCCTGGCACCTTACGTAAAACCCATCTCCGACTCTGATGCCAAAAGCCTTTGTCTGAACTACTAGAATTTTTAACTTTTCTGGAGGCTCCACTGTCAATGAGCATAATGACCTCTCTGTTCCCGATTTCTCCTCTTAATTTTAATGTTTTTGGCCCCTGTATTCCAACTACAGAAATGATTAAGAGTTCAACCGCGCTTGGGGCTTCTTCTTTGGTCGACTTTTCTTCAGCGACTATCTCGTTCACCTCTGGGCTTTCTTCATCCACTAACAATACTTGAAACATCTTATCACTGCACCGATGGCCTAGCGAATACTTGGCGTCACACCGAAAGCACAGTCCCTTCTCCCTCTTCTTTTGGATCTCAGTTTCAGTCATCTTCTTATAAGGATAATCTCATTGGGAAAAATTTGGCCGGAAATTGACAGAGGACGATAAGTTGGGGCTAGGTTGAACTTTGTTTGGATTTTGCCGGAAATGGGATGGATTTGGACTTGTTGTACGGGTCAGTTCAAGTGGGTTTGGTTTTTTGTTAGGTCATCAGGTCAGGTTAGATAGGTGTAGGTTCTTGGCCCAGTAGTTGGGGTAGCCCACTTTCCTTGGCGGCCTGGCCCAGTTATGGCTTCTTCAACTGCAGAATTTCGCTCTTCCACCCTTTGGGCTAAATGGGTTACTTGGATCAAAGAATTGGGGTTGGTGAAAATATCTAGTTGTTGCAATCGGATCTCAGCCTTGAGTTCTGGTTTTAAGCCATTAAGAAACATGACAGTGAGCACCTCCTCTCTTTCCCTGACTGTTAAAGCTGCCACTTCCACAAACCGGCGGCGATACTCCAGCATTGTCCCCGTTTGCCGCATTGCCATCAATAACTCTAACGGGCTAACCTCCTAGCCTCCACTAAAGCGCTGGCAAAGAGAGACTTTAAACTCTGCCCACGTTGTCATTGCTTCCCACGACTCCATCCATTGATACCAATGGAGGCCTTCTCCCTCCATACATAGAGCCGTCGCTGACACCCTTTGTTCATCGTTGACTTGATTAATGGTGAAATAGCGCTCCACACGAAAGATCTATCCATACGGGTCTTCACCGGTGAAGATGGGTAGCTCTAGTTTCCTGCCCCACCATTCGCGGTGACCCCAAGCTTTTCCGTTGTGGTATCTTGTGTCCCGATGAAACTCATGTTCATTACGTTCCCCACTGTCCCTGTGAATCTCCTGCTCAGCTCGTCCTCCACCGTGGTCTCCTCCAGTTTCCTCATGACATTCTTGTTCGTTTTGGCCTTCCCTGCCTCTGTTCGAATTCCTAGATAAGTTCCTCTTGCGTTCTTCTTCTTCTTCTTCATCTTTTTTACGCATCCAACTCTGCATATCCATCAAGATTTCCCTCATCGAGTTCGCTATCTCTGACACTCTAGCAACATCTTTCTCAACACTGTCCATCCTACTCTCCATCCTTGTACTAACCATGCCCTATAATCGCTGAGCTCTGATACCAATTGATGAGCACCAACCTTCCAGATTCATGTTTGACAGCAAATAATAAGAGAAAAAGCAAACACTCAATCACAAGCGATACTCTCAATTGGAAAACTGAAATAAAACTATATTGATGGAATGAGTTCGTAACATTGGAATGAAAACAAAAAGAGAAATTGAAAAGAGACTTAACCCTATACTGAACTTCGAGGCTCAGTTCCTCCTATACAACTCTCTACTAATTTTCCATATCCATCCTATGCTTTTCCTCCTCTTTTATCCTTGCGCTAGATTCCTTTTCCAACAACTGTAACAAATTCCAGACACCTGTCACCCTTTCATTGCGCCAGCCAATTTGCCACCCATCAATCCTTCCTTGTTGCCATCTGTCAATAGTTTATTGTGCCATTTGCTCCTTTCTTTGCTACTGTGCCACCTGTCCAGCCTTGTCAAACCTTGCTTCCCCTTTTTGCCTTGTTCTGATAAACCATTTGGTCAACAGGGGTCAATCACATGCGCCTTAGGATAATGTTGGAAATTGAAGAGTCAAAACTAGAAGGTAGTTTTGTTTGAATTAATTTTTTTAGATTTGATGATTGCTCGATAGAAAAAATGCTCGTTAGAGAATTATTTCTAGTTGTTTCATATTTGAAAAGATCAAAATCTTGACATTTGAATCTCTGAGTTCTTTAATAATAAATAGAGCTTAAAGTCATTGGTTCTTGCACTCTCATGAGTGTTAGATGCCAAATTCCCTTCCTAGATTTGAACAAAATGCTTTGGAAAATTTATTGAACAAGAAATAATTTTGAAGCAATTAACGAGAAGTCGTCTGATCTGCAGGTATATGGGTAAAATTACAGGAATCAATGATCTGGATCCTGTAAGATGGAATAACTCACAATGGCGCAATTTGCAGGTACAAACTTTGTTTTTCTCAGCATTTTCATCTGTTTTATTTACTTTATTTTAATTTTATTTGCCGTTATTAAAGCAAATAGCCATGAATAGTTGGTTGGGATGAGTCAAAGGCTGGAGAAAGGCGTAATCGTGTCTCAATTTGAGAGATTGAAGCAGTGACTGCTCTGTTTTTTCTCTGCCCTACTCCATTCTTGAGATCCAAGCATCCAAGACAACCAGGAATGCCAGGTACTAGGGGTCCATTTGGTTTATTATTCTAATAGTTTTTAGAATAATATTTTGAAAAAAGTTAAATTGGACAGGTATTACGATGTAAGATTTGAAAATTAACAATACTCCATATATTTGTTTATTTACTAAACACCCCTATAATAAAATATTAAAAGTTAACAAAAACACCTTCAACCCATTCATTAAATACGGACAGCCGGCCACCACCGCCGGAGGGTGGCCAGAGTATTTTTGCAATTTCTAAAAAAAATATTTGGAGTTGTTTAGTTAAATTAACAAATTTAGGGAGTTTAAAAAAATTAAAAAATATAAAATAATATTTTGAGAATAATGACATTTTACTGTTTAACTTTATTGGGAATACTAATAATAATATTCCCAATAGCGTAACAAACGAAGCCTAGATGTGCTATTCAGGTGAAGTTCCTTGGTTATAACATAAGTTCCTTGCTCCGATGTAGCTTAAGTTTCTCCTTGCATAGGCATTTCCTTGATGCTTGTTTGTGGTTGTTACTACTGTTTATCATGTGTAATGTGGAGTTGACATAATAACAAAATGCAGATACAAATACATAAATGGACACATGGGGCTAAGGACCTTTGGTCAAATATTATGTTAACCATTTGAACCCGAAACTTTAGCTAGAAGTAGGATGTTTCAGTTCTAATAATTGTGTATCATTGTTTCCTTTTAGTGGGCCCACCAAGGAGTTGGAGCTGATTCTTATCGATTTTCTCACCAAAATCGACCGGAATCATCACTTTATCATTTTCCAAGTGTTTTCCAAGCCTTGATAGTCTTTGATTTGGCCGATTTTTTACAAATCTCGCAACCTAGCTCCACCACGTTCGACAACCATTTCCGGCCTTTTCGGCATATACTTGGCATTGTTGGCCTTCCCCAACAACACCATCTTCCTTCCTTCAGCCTTCTCACCAAAACCCCTATCATACCTCATATATTTACTCTGCCATAGCCAGCCATCGATACCTTTTGGGCCGTGACTTCTCAAGTCTTTTCTAGTCAATCTTGGCATTGGAAATCACCCATTTCACCGCCCATCACTTCTCCAGCATCTACTCTCTAAAACCCCCACCAACCTAATCCTGTTAGTCCACCGATCGTCGTCCACCTTTTCTAGTGATTTTGCATCTCAAAAGGCAAGAAAAATAAATTTGAAATAATTTTTTAATATATCCTTATATTATTAGAAGACCCCCAAAGTAACTTTTGCCTAGGATCACAAATGTTCTAGAGACGGCTTGCAAATACCTCAGCCAAACGACTTGCAGTTTAATTCCCAGAGGTCACCACAGAAAGTTCAACAGATTGGTCAGCTGCCACAGCTTCCATCAACCATGAACCAATTAGGCTCCATTATACCGCCACCACAACAATTAGGTGATATAACTCAACAATCAAGGCAAAATATGATTACTCAAACTTTATCCCCGGGTCAAGTTCAGGTCCAAATGCTTCAGCCACACAATCTTGTACAAAACAATAATATTCTTCCGCGGCAACCATCTATTCAAAACCCTCCACTTCCAATTAATATTCCTCCAAACATGTTATGGGCCAGAACCAACCGCAAAACCTTATGCAGTCCCAGCTTCCTGATCAAGCAAACCAACATTTACATATGTCTGACAAGCAGCAGATTCAGCTTCAGCTGTTGCAGAGACTTCAGCTACAACAACAATCACTTTTAGCACAGCAGTCTGCACTTCAACAGCCTGCTCAACTTGCTCAACTCCAAGATCAGCAAAGACAACTTTTGGATGTTTCCCAGAGCTTTTCTAGGTCTGTGACGGCCACCCAAATGCTGGACATGCCGCAAACGACACCCACCTCACTCCCTCAGGCCAATGTTACCTCACAGCAAATAACTAAGGGTAATAACATGACAAATGTTCGATTTTCCTATGATCCTATCCTCCACAGCAACTGAAACTTCAGCAACAGCAGACTGGTCTGCTGCTTGAAATGCCTGGACATGTGGCTCCCCTCCCAGCCCAAATTAGTAATCAACATTCAACAGCTGGTGGTAGTGTATTAACAGGAGCTGTAGGAGCAGGGCATTCTGTGATTACTGATGATGTTCCTTCTTGTTCCACTTCACCGTCCGCAAACAACAGTCAAAATTTGATTCAACCAATGGCAAATAGTAGGCCCAATCGGAGCATGGCAATGGGAGAGGACATAGCTCAGTCTGCCTCAACTCTCTTGAGTACCAGTGGTTTGGAAACCATAGCACCTGGCATTAACTTGGTCAAAGATTTTCAACCCAAAACAGATATTAAGCCTTCATTGAACATCTCTAAGAATCAAAACCAAGGTTTTTTTTGCCCCACAGACATACCTACATGTACATCTTCCCAGGCTGATTATTTGGATACGTCTTCTTCAACTTCAGTTCGCCTTTCTCAGAATGATGTCCATATACAACAGAACAACAGTTTGTCATATAATCCTTTGAGAGACACAAGCCAAGATGGGGAAGTTCAGGCAGATCCCAGGAGCAATGTTCCATATGGGAGTAATATTGATGGCCCATTGGTTTTACCCAATCATGACCCGTTGCTAACAAAAAGCATGGGCGTGGGGAAGGATTTCTCGAATAATTTATCTTCAGGAGGGATGCTTGCTAACTATGAAAATTCCAAAGATGTTCAGCAGGAACTTTCGTCCTCAATTGTTTCACAGTCATTTGGAGTTCCAGATATGACATTTAATCCAATTGATTCCACGATAAATGACAGCAGTTTCATGAACAGGGCTCACTGGGCACCACCACCACAGTTTCCTCCAAGAATGTGGTCGTATACTAAGGTTTATTTCTGGAGATATATTTCTGTCATTAAGTCTCATTTTTCCTTCTCTTGTTCATATCAGTTAAGGTTTTAAAGCTAGATTTATTTGTTATGAAGGTGTACAAACGTGGAGCCGTGGGGAGATCAATCGATATTACACACTATTCTGGTTATGATGAGCTGAAGCAGGATCTTGCTCGTAGGTTTGGTATAGAGGGGCAATTGGAAGACCGGCAGAGGATAGGCTGGAAGCTTGTGTATGTGGATCACGAACATGATGTCCTGCTAGTGGGGGATGATCCATGGGAGTAAGGCCTTAACTCCTCTACCAATGTGTTTTTCATCTTTGAATTCTCTCCTCTCCCTTTACTTTTTTCTTTATTTGAATCAGCAAGATAGTAGTGATAATGACCCGAATATTTGACTAATAATTCCCCATGTCCTCCTGCCTTAATCCTTTACTTGTTAATTTAAGAATTCTAACCATGGCCAGGCCTAACTTTACTGCGGTCTTTGTTTTATATATATATAATCATGTAGACTGATTTAAAGCCCCATATGTATCACTATAGTTGGTTTATCTTTACACAATTTGGTTTGGGATTTTTCAAGGAGTTTGTCCGCTGCGGTCTCTGCATTAAGATCCTATCACCACAAGAAGTACAGCAGATGAGCTTGGATGGAGATTTCAGGAATTACGTTCTTCCCCATCAAGCGTGTAGCAGCTCTGATAACGGGAGTGCTTGAAAGATTGTCTTTCAAATTCTAACAGTTTTTCTTTGCGTTTGGATCCTATATTAGTTGTGGGGATTCTGTTCATATAGTTCTCTATGGAGTATATATTGCTACATCTGGGTTTTTCTTCATTTTGTTTTATATATTTTTTCCCCTCATTTCAGAGCTTATAGCAAGAGCAAGCAAATGAAGACATGAATGATCCTTTTGCAGTTTTAACACTTGAAACTTTTGACAACTTTAAGTGGAAGAAACAGAAACTTATTACCAGAATTTGTTATGGGACTAATTAGTCTCAACTGAAGTGCCAGCAGAATATTCCAGCTTTAATTTGGCACCCATTTTGGTATCTCTTTTTGAGTAGAGGATTTGTCAATGCTGTTGTCGGTTTGTATTCTTGTCATTTACTTATTTGATACACCCTTTAAGGTGCATTGTAGAAAGCAAATGCCAGAAATTTATATGCTCTAGTTTTGACTTTTGTTTGTATAAATATGTATATTTCCTTTATGGGTTGTTTTTTTAATGTATGAGATTCAGGGTTAGGGTACCCTTTAAGACTGCCCTTCTTTCGTTTTGCAATGAAATTGGTCCTAGATATAAGGTTGCCTCTGTTGGATTCTTCAGTTTTGGAAATTCGCGGTGCCAAAGTTCGTTACCTTCTTGTGCTTGGTCTTTAATAGACATAAGAGGTGAACATAGAATATTAACAATTGCAAAAATTAATAGTTCATATATAAAACTTTAAGCTCGTTCAAGAAACATTCAGATAGCTTAGAGTGTGTTTGTTTTATTATTTTGGCTGAGATTTTTGAAATCCTACCCAAAATACATACTTGTTTCCCTATTCTAAGAATTCAATTTTATTTTATTCAATTTTTTAAACCCCTAGGTTTGTTAAGAAATTGACAAAAACACTCTCATTCACTCACATTTTCCATATTCTGGCCACCACTGTCGGAAGGTGGTCGGAATCTAGCATAATGGTGCACTACCGGCTGGATCTGGTCAGTAGTGCGCAGATCTAGCCTTTTCCAGCCAGATCTACTGTAGATCTAGTTGGAAAGGCAATATCGACGCACGACTAGCCAGATCCAATCAACCATGCGCCATTACGGGGACTTCCGGACACCCTTCGGCGGTGGTGGTCAATTGCCAACATTTAATGGGGGTGTTTTTGTTAATTTTTAATATTTTGTTGTAGAGGTGTTTAGTTAAATTAACAAACTTAAGAGGTGTTTTTGTTAATTTTCAAATCCTATCTCGTAATAACCACCCAACTCAACTTTTTCAAAAATATTATTCCAAATAATAAACCAAATACAGCCTTATAGTTCCCTGTGCTCTATAGAAGTATAAAGTGTAACGAATCATATATCGAAAACGTATTGTGGAGGTCTTAGGCTTATAAAGGGGAGAGTCTTTCAACTTAATAAGTTAGCTTTTTGGGTGTGAAACTTCCAACTCATGACAAAAGGAATCGGTGAAAAAGTCTAGGGTGTGTTTATTTATGAATTTTATGTATAAATTCTTAGTATTTTTTAAAATATTGAAAATGATTGAAAAAAAAAATGAATAGAAACATCTCCGATTTGTTTATCTGAAAATAGTATTTAAAAATGTGAAAAATAAAAAACATGTTCGATATGGTTGTCTGAAAACACAAAAATAAAAAACGAATGAAAACTATACAACTGCTAAAATTTATTTAAAATACCATTTATTTTGAGATATATATATATATATATATATATATATATATGGAGCCAGCCTTATCTCTCATGACAACCATTTCCTCTCTTCTATGCTTTAAAAATTGTTGAAAAAGGTGTCCAAACACAAATTTCGTGGCAAGAAAAACGAAGCCTTCGTTTGGTTGGATTTTGGGAATACTACTTTTAGTATTCCCAAAAAAGTTAAACAGTAAAATACCAAAAAACTCACAATATTATTCAATTTTTTTTAAACCCTCTAAATTTGTTAATTTAATTAAATACCCCTAAATATTTTTAATGTTTTTATTACGGCGACTCCGACCACCCTCTGGCGGTGGTGGCCGACTGTCCATATTTGAGGGTGGATTGAGGGTGTTTTTGTTAATTTTTAATGTTTTATTATAGGGGGTGTTTTGTAAAAAAATAAACATAAAAGGTATTTTATTAATTTGTAAATCCTACATCGTAATACCCGCCCAATTCAACTTTTTTTTAACTTTTTTCAAAAACACAAAATTGTGAACCAAACGGAGCCGAAAATAAAATGGAGTGTTTGGAGGAAGGTCGTCCCGTACGCCAAATTCTTGTTGATCGAATAAAAATTTTGCCTAGTTCTTGGTTCCGTTGGTTTAGGCCACGTTTGATAGGCTTTTTAAATAGCATTCTATAATAAAATAGTATTAATGAAATAGAATAGGATAGAATGTATTTTGGAAAATATTTTCTAAAAATATTTGTATTCTTTTTTAACCTTTTTATATTTATTAATTTAACTAAACACCACCTACAATAAAAATTTATAAATTAAGAAAAACACCCTTATTCACCCAACTATTATCTGTAGTCGACGACCATCGTCTAAAAATATTTGTATTCTTTTTTAACCCTTTTATATTTATTAATTTAACTAAACACCACCTACAATAAAAGTTTATAAATTAAGAAAAACACCCTTATTCACCCAACTATTATCTGTAGCCGGCGACCATCGTCCGACGATGGTCAGAAGTGCCAGAATAGTGCACAACTGGGTGGATCTAGCCAGTTATGCGCCGATCTGGCCTTTTTTTTACCAAATCTACGGCCAAAGATCTGGCCATTGCCGACAGTCATATCATCGGCCAGAAATCTGGTCGTCAACAATGGCCAAGATAAGGATGTTGTTGATGGCCAAACGGCCAGATCTTTTGTCATGGATCTAGCCAGAAATGGACAGATCGGCACACTACCAGCCAGGTCCAACTGGTTGTGCGTTGTTATGGCGCCGACGTCCAGCAGTGGCAACGACAACGGTAGCTGCTAGCGGGTGATAGTGGCTTGGGTGGGTGGGTGGGGGTGTTTTTGTTAATTTATAAACTTTTATCGAAAAAATAATTATTAATTATTTTGAGTTTAATAGAATAAGATTGAATTTTGAGTTGAATAGAAAAGTTAATTATTTCATTGGATTGGATAGGATAGTGAAAAAAAAGCCTACTAACCGCAACTTTTATTTTTAGTTTTATTTTTATTTAATGGTTTACAAATTACAAAGACTTGATGTATGAATTATGATGCTCAATTGTTGGTGTATCTCTAATTATATTAACAATTTCTTATTATTTGATTATGATTTATGCTCCCTTACCAATTTTTTCTTAAATTTAAAAAAAGTATTAATCATATTGTTATATAAAGGTTTTTTTTTTTTTTTTTAACTATGTTCGGGGAAAATTCCCCGTCAAGATTAATACCAATAAATCCCCGACATACCTGTCTCAAGGACGAGTATCCCCCATGTTATGCCTAAAAAACAAGAACTGATTAATCAAACAACACAATCAAATCAAGAAACACAAGAAATACCGCAGATATCAAACACACAGAACACGCCACAATTTTACCGTGGTTCACTTATCCTTTTATGGATAAGCTACATCCACGTTGAGCTCAAGAAAGGTATGAGCTCGCTGCACTTCTATTACCAGAAACCAGTCAAGATTACACAGACTCCACTCACTAGATTTACTCGTTTTACAACAGCACTCAGCCTTACAAGATACTCTTAGAATATCCCAAACCCGAGAGAACAACACTCTCACCTGAATGATTAAATCCCCTAATCACTCGACTGATACTCACAATCTGGAATTGAATCTGAACCCTAACACAGAGAGAATAGCCGACTCAAAGAATAACCCTAGCCTCTTTTGTTTTCTCTCTCTCTAGAATGACTGTATCATGCGCTTATATATGGTTGACTCTGTGAGTGATCCTGGCCGTCCAATCTGAAACGAATCCTGTGGTCTGCATTTGCCCAAACTAATACGCCTGAACGACGCCGTATTAGAGTTACTTAAACGACGCTGTTTTCAGGCTTCCACATTTAACACCCCAAGATGTCGAGGAAGGGGTTCGAGGACTCCATTCCTCGGCCTGCCCCACCCGCGCCCATCTCTACTTAAAACTATTGTCGACGGTCTCCTCGTCAATATCATTAGATAAATTGTTAGACGATCTACCCAACGACATCGATGATGTCGCTAGATGCACAATTGATGACAACAAACACTATTGTTGGCAACTGCCAATTGGGACTCTGTCGGCCAATTCTAAACTTATCTTAATATTATATAAATAATTATTTAAACACTATTTAAAACAAAAATTGTGTAAAATGTTTCAAAATTATTCGGTGCATCTAAACTCGTAAGGGGTTGGGGATTATTTGATGCATATTAGAGCCCAAGATTTTCAGTTTTAATTTTGTCCATTATGGTGAAAAACTTAGCCAAACAAAACAGTGCAGTTTAACTTCTTAATACTATCTGATACAGACAACCAGGCACATGCCAAAGGCTTTAAAGTACTTATCTCTTAGGGGGCGTTTTGTTTGGAGAATGTTGTATAACTTAGAATATTATATTAATATAAAAAAAGATGACCTTGAAGATTACTAAGAATATTTAGAAAAATATATTTGGTTAGGTTGGAATAAATTAGTGGGTATGTTATATTCATATGTTTGGTTGGGAGGAATAAATTGGTAAGTATGTTATATAGATTACTAAATTGCCATTTTTTTTAATATTAGTATACTATTATTTTTATTATTATTATTTGAATTATTCTTGTAACCTCCTACATTTGAGATTTTGCTAAAACACTATAGCCAAATTAAAATTAAAATTTTAACAAACTCACCCCCACCCACCCAAGCCGCTGTGGGCCGCCAACCACCACCGTTGGTTACGGCCAGTAGTGGTCGGAATGACACACGATCGGCCAGATCTAGCTAAGCGTGTGGGATTTGGTGGT